CCTGACCCTGGACTGGCGAAGGCAGATGTGGGGGAGAGACCTGTAGGGGGGTGGCTGTGGCCGTGTTTTTATTGATTCTGATGTTGCTCTTTTCCTCCCAGACGTGTCTGGCCATGTCTGACCCTTCTCTTCGGGTCCCGGCCAGAAGGTGCTTTAGTCTCGTGGCGGCTGTCAGGCCTTGCTCTGGGCCGATCCCTCCTGGGTGGACTTTTGCCCACGAGGGGAGGGTCACTTCAGGTATTTGATTTGGAAGTTCTATTCTTTGTGTTCCGTATTGTATATTCACTGTATTAAAGTCCCTTTTCATGAAAGTTTTATATGTTTTGTCCTGTTGCGGCGGATGGCAGAAGCCAGATTTTGGGGCTTCAGGGGTGTCCCTCTCCCCCTGTTCTGGAACAGATTTGGGGTGCCCTATAACACACTCAGCAACAGGTAAGCTACCTGGCTTCAGGTCCTGGGCTGGGGGGGACAGACCCTGGTGAGCCTTTGATTGACAGTAGCAACTTTTCTCTTGATGATGCCTTTTCCCTCCAGCCACGGGAGGCTTGCAGGCCCGAGGCCCTGCTGCGGGCCACCCCGCGGGGCTGGGCATTGACCCTGGAGGGGACACGTGACTTCCGAAGCTTGGTTAGGAAACTACCTTGCCCTTTTCTGTACCGCACAGAACTGCATTCAAGTTCCTTTCCACCAAGGTCTTACACACTAGAGTGTTTTGTCTTGATGTGGCGGACCGGGATGGTGGGACCTATTTAGAGTGGGCAGGGTTGGGGGGCTGGGGTGCCCCTCTCCTGCCCTGAACAGTATTAGCACCCCTCCTCACTCCCCCACCCCGGGCGGTCCAGACCACACCTCCTGATTCACACCCTCCCCAGGCTGATCCAGCTTAATGCTCTTCTTGACGTGACAGTGTGACAGTCACCGTGTATGACCGGGCAGTTCTGACCCTGCTTTAGGAATACAGACTTGTAGGCAGCAACCGGAGGCTGGACAGGCCACTTAGGGTTACCAGACCCACACAGGTGCCCCCAACCCCGCCAGGGGGTGCTGGTGAGGATGGAACACCCCAGGCAGTCTTCAGAGACAGGCCTGTGGGCCGGAGGCTGATAGGAAACGGAAAAGACTTCCGGTCAGCCTCCAGGAAGGCGGCCAGTCATTCCCGCCTCACTCTGCGGACCTTCCAGAAGTTTCTGCAGCCCTTCTGACATGGAGGGGCTTCCAGCAGCCAGCCTCAGAGGCGCTGAGGAGCTTTGCAGGTGGCCGAACACCAGAAGGTTCCAGGCTGCAGTCCCAGCCTGGCAGGGGAGGCGAGCCCGGAGCGGCGCCTGGCTGAGCTGTGAGTGTGCCACGTGCTTGGACAGTCGCTGTTCCAAGGTGCCTGTCCCGCTCTGCGGGCATCTCCTGCTGCTCAAGTTGGGGCCCAGCTTATTGCCGCTGCCACGTGCCACGTGCCTCAGTGGCGAGGAGACGCCATCTTGGAAAACTTTTGCTTGGGACTTTAAAACACTGGACAAGGTTTTGGGTGAGGTCAATGGTCATGTGTGGCCGCAGGGACTCCTGTTTTCCCTCTCTGCCAGCTCAGGGCAGCTGTCCTCTGCCCACCTGTGCCCATGCCGGTGATTCTTCCCGCCCGCTCTCTCCCTCCGCAGGGCAGCGGCCTCCTGCCTGCCCGCGACCTGCACCTGCCAGGACCTCTCTGCTCTGACCTCCTTGAGGGGAGGCCGCTCTCCCAAGGCCGCCCACCTGCCGCCACGCAGGTCTCTCTCCCTGCAAACCCGCCCCTTCAGGGGCAGCTCTCCCTGTCCGCATGTCTGTGAAGTGTCTTTTCCTCTCCCGTCTCTTTCCAATAAACTTGCTCTTTCAATATAACCGAGTCTCTGTCTCGTGAAGACTCTCGCCGCGTGCCGCTGACAGGGGAGCTCGGACGAAACCTTTCCCAAGGTGGACCCAAGGGCCCCGAACTCAAATGACATCAGTGCCATCCCGCCTACAAGGGCAGCCCCAAACCCAGGCCGAAGGTCAGGATGGGCACTGGACACTGGATCGACGGCAGTGGGGGCTTTAGTTCCAAGGGTGGCGAGCAGGGTCAGGTGGACAGCTCAGTGACCCCCCAGGCCCCTGGCCCTTAGTGACCCCCCCCAGGTGACCTAGGCTCCCTGCACCCACTTCTGGGCGCCCCACTCTGGATCCCTCCTGACTGGAGCATTCAACCCAGCTGGCGGCCAATGGCTGAAGCTTTTGGTGCGGGTGAAACCCACCCTGTCTTTCTAGGGGCCTGCTGCCGAGGCGGCAACGGGAAAGGCCCAGCCCTGTCCCCTGGGCCATCCCAGTCGCTGGGATGAGCAATGTCCCCTCTACTCCCTAAGTTCGCTATTCAGAATCCCAGCACCACCCAGGAGCCAGCCCGAGACTGTCACTCATCCCACAGGGGCAGTGTGCACACAGCAGCTGTGTCTGACGATGGCCAGCGGAGTAGGGCCCCCGAGGTCCAGCGCCCCAGACTTCTGGTTATGAGGTCAGTCTGGGGTCACGTCTATAGCACGGTGACAGCAGTGACCACGTGATACTGCCTGTTTGAACGTTGCTAAGAGTAATTCTGAAAGCTGTCACCACAGCAGAAAATATCTGTTACTGCTTGGTGACCAGTGGATGTTATGAACGGCGTGGAGAGGTCATTTTGCCACATATACAAACACTGAATCCTGCTGTGCTTCTAAAAATGTATGTCAATGATACCTTGATTTTTTTTCTTCAAAAGGGACCTGCTGGAGGGCCCTCGCTGGTGGCGCAGCGGGTTAAAGCGCAGCACTGAGAAGCTTAAGCCACTTCCGCATGAGTTCGATCCCCGCCTGCCCCGGAGGGGACCCACAGGGCGCGGCAGACCTCTCCTGGCCCGCCCGCTGCTCCCCTCAGCAGTGGACTTCATCAGGCAGCCTGTCCTGCTCTGCTCCCCACTGTGTGTCTGGGGAATCCTCTTACCGCCCCTGCCCCTCTGGCCTGTACCCCAGTCCTGGATGCTTGCAGCTTTCCCTACCCCTCATGCCCAATTTGCCACAGAGGACGCTGGTACACATGGCATCGGGCACTCACGATGGGTACTTGGGTACTTACTGCTCCTCAGGTAACAGAGCTGCAGAGTGAGGGTAGGAGAATGGGTCTACACCCCCCCCATTACCGGGCACCCCAATATGAAATGGATGGCCGGATTGCAGGTCCTCCCCCATGGCGCTTAGTATTATTCAACAGTATAAGCCACACCCAAAGGTTGGTAAAGGGTGTATTTGCTAAAGTAGGGGGAAGGAGGAAGTGAATACTTCAGGGAGGGCGATCAGGTCCCTTCCGTGAGGACGGGGTTTGTCTAGTCCCTGTCTTCAAGGCTTTGGTCTGGGCTGGGGTGACGTCGACAGGCCTGGAGGTTCCTAAGGCATCCGTTCTTTTCTTTTTTTTAAAAAAAGATTTATTTTTGCAGACAGAACTGGGGTACAGGCCAGAGGTGTGGTGGGAGAGAGGACTCCCCAGACACAGAGTGGGGAGCAGAACAGGCCGATGGATGAAGCCCACTGCTGAGGGGAGCAGCGGGGAGACAGGAGGGGTCTGCTGCACCCTGGGGGTCACCCCCTAGCCGCGGATGGAACTGGTGCTGCAGTGGCTGTGGGGAGCAGTGGCTGTGGAGAGCTTCATCGTGCTGCGCTTTAACCCGTCGCGCCCCCAGGGAGGGCCCTCTTCGCACCCTTTCTCCCCAACACCCCTGAAACGGATCTCACGGCTTACCTTGCTAGACCGTGAGACACCTTTGCTCACCTTTGCTCAGACCGGCCACTTCACTCCTCCTGGCGCCGGGACTGTGGTACCTGGAGCCTTCTTATCGCCTGTCACTCAACTGTGACTGATCCAAATCTCAGAAGTGGCCGTTCGGACCCACCAGGCAGCTCAGTCTCTGACGCCCCGCCGATCCCTCTAGTAGTTTCCTTCCTGGAAGAGATTAAGGTTCACTTCAGGCACCACCAAAATATGACTCAGCCCTAGCTGCTGAGGACGTCTGGTCAGCTGCCTCCGGGTTGGTTCTCCTGAGCTCGCAAACAAACCACCGCCGGACACACGGATCAGAAAAAAAGCCAGAAAAGGCCGTTTCCACAGACATGTCTTCTTCAGAAACAGATCCACCCCTCCTTTTTTTTGAAGATTTATTTTTTATTTATTTTTTAATTTTATAACAGTTTAGTTTTACATCATTTTGTACTTTTTTTTTTTTGCCATCTCAGTTGTCATCCCCGCGGGTTTCCCATCACCAAGTCACCCGTGTGCCATCACCAAAATCCCGTGCACTTCCCTCCCCGCCCCTCCCCCCCGGTTTTGATCCCATTCCCCCCTTAACCCCCCCAAAATGCCTCTGGTATATGGCTGTTCATTATTCTTGTTATTTCCTCGCCTGGTCCATTATACTCTTCTATGAGTGAAGCCATCGGGTATTTTTCTTTCTCCTTCTGGCTTATCTCATTCAGCATGACCTTTTCCAGCTCCATCCAAGTTGCTGCAAAAGACATGCGATCCACCCCTCCTTCTTAACCGCTCCCATGAAATCAACATTTATCCAAAAAGTATATGGGTTTGTGTGTGCAGACTTATGCTCCCCAAAACCATGTGTCCCCGAGGGGTCCAGACCCCCTAGATGGGTCACGTCCTGGGCAGGCCAGTGACAAAGTGAGCTGGACGATAAGCGCCCGCTGTCACAATCCTGGAAGAAACGGGTGCCCGCCGGCCCGTGGGATACCCAGAGGAAGCTGAGACTAAAGACCCCCCCTAGAATGCTTCAGAACAATCTAGAAGCACCCTCCTCCTTGTGGAAACTGAGGGAACCGCCTCTGAGAACAGAGACTTCCCCAGGCGCGCAGTGGGTGATGGGAATGGGGCCAAATAGAAATCGCCAGTGTCCGGCTGGGGGTGGGGGTGAGGCTGGGGGCGCGGGGGAGGGTTGCAGACACCTGCAGGCTCACCGTGACCACCTGGACTGCAATTGGCCTGGGGCCCAGAGGAGGCTTGCAGGCGCCCGCTCCGGGGG